CCCCCCTTCCCCCCCCCCCCAGCCACTTGCAGCTCACACGCTGCGGACTGTCCGTGTGTCCGGCCGTCACTTGTCAGCCTGAAACAGTCGCGCTGTCAGTGGGTCGTCCCACGAGCGCCGCTGCTAATCACAGGGGAACCCGCCGGCCAGTTTGAGCTTGACCGAGCAACCGAGGTCTCGACGTTCGATGCCTTTTGAGACAGTAACTACCCAGCAGAGGCGAGGGAAAGGCTGCAACTCATCCCAACCACCTCACCGGGCGGGCGGGGACCCGCGCCAGCACCACCAGCCCGCGCAGCCGGTGGCTCTGAAGCCGCTCGACGAAACGCGCTGGGATCTCCCGTTAGAGCTGCAGGAGCGGAGGCGGAAAGGTGCTGTGAACGGGCACAGGAGCGGGGCCGGCATCAGGCCCCCGTCCCGTCCTCACCCCTCCGGGGTGATCAACCCACCAGATCACCGACGGGAACTCCATAAACTATTTAAATAAAGAAGCACGGAGCGGGGTGGGTGTTAAAACCGTCACCTCCGAGCAGGTTATTTATACCTTCCCCCATCGATCGGCACGGGCTTCCTGCCCAAATCAATGCCGGCGCCCGCGGGGCGAGGGGCAGCCGCCGCCCGCCCCGGGGGGGGGAGGCGGGCAGGTAGGAGGTAAGGGCAGCCCGGGCAGCACCACCCCTGCCTGTTATTCCTGCAAGGCTGCAGCTGCCCGGAGCGGGCGCAGCTGCCAAAAACCAGACACCCTCTTCCCTGCCCCAGAAACTCGCCGGGACAAACAGGATGCCAGAGACGATAGTTCATCCGAAAAGAAAAAAAACCCCACGTGGAAAATGAGCGCAGGCTCCGACGCCTCGCGGCGGGGTTGAGGTTTCCCAGCCTGGGGTGTCTTCCCAGGGCAGCAGCAGGAGCAGAGCCCCCTTTTTTTACGGCAAGGACCAAGCTTGCCGGCACGGCTGAGAGATGGGGGAGGCTCGCCCCCCCCCCCCCCCCTCTCCAAACCCGGAGAGCCCCAACGCTGCGAGCAAGGATGCTCCAGAGCATCCAGGGAGACAGGCACGGCAGGGAAAGGGACCGGAGCGGCCGGGGGAAGGTGGCGAGGAGCCTGGAAGCACCCGGATCCAAGCGATTTTGGGTCATGGGCTCGCTCTGCCCCTGCTGCTCCGTCTCGCTAATCTCCTCCTGGAAAACAAGCCACGAAACACCCACGAAAGCCGGGGTGCGGCCCCGGCCCACGTCGTGCCACAACCGGCAATTTGCTGAGGCAACGGCGGC